TTTTTGCAGCACTGTCAAAGTAACCCAAGGTTTCTGTTTTGGGCAACTTCTTCTCTAGCTCTTTGAACACTATTTCTTGTTCTTTTCCCCAGGGGAAATGAGCATCTTTTCTTGTGAGTTTTCCAAGAGGCTCTAATACTGTTGCGAGATCAGGGATAAACCTCGCACAGAAGTTCACTAGGCCTAATGAGCTACATACTTCTGCTGCTGACTCTGGTTGTCTGGCTTCTGTGACCATTTCAACTTTCACCTTGGTTGGTCCAATCTCTCGTGTGGAAAGCAAGTGACTCACAAACTTGAGCTCAGACATTTGAAATTTACACTTCTCTATGTTCAGCATTAGGCTTCTGTTCTGGATTCTCTCCATAGCCTTTATGAGTCTCCTGTTATGCTCATCTGTTGTTTGGCCATGAACAATAATGTCAACATATATATTTCTTACACCATCACAGCCTTCTAAGAGTTGTTGAATTACTCTCTGATACATTTCAGGTGCACAGCTGACTCCAAACAATAATCTTTTGCACCCGAAAATTCCTTTGTGAGTCGCAAACATGGTAATCAGTGTGGAAGCCACACTCAATTTCACTTGATAAATGCCCACTTGCTGTTAAGWTTACAAAAAACAGTACTACCATTRACGTCATGAAGGACTTTATCGACTGTCAGAATTGGGTGTCGTTCCTGTACAATAGCACTATTTGCCTGTCTCATGTCAACAAAGAGACAGATGTTCCCATTTCATTTAGACACAAAAACTACAAGTGAGATCCAGGGCGACAGACCCTCTGCTCTCTCGATTACGTTGAGATCTACAAGCTCATTAAGTTTCTGTTCTAGCTTGTCCCTTAAACTGAATGGCACACGAGGTGTAGGTTGGGCAACAGGCTTAATATTCTGATCTATGGGAATATCGAGCCAAAAATCCTTCAATTTTCCAAGCCCCTCAAAACATTATTTGTACTTGTCAAAGGTGTGTTCCTGTTTCAAAACAATAACTCTAACTTCCTTGCTGAGGCACAAGACAATTAGCTGTGTAGCTGTCTCTCCTCCTGGAAATGCTTGGCCTTTTTCCTTTTTCCTTTTTCCAGACATTTCCTATGAAGTTTCCCGAGTCAAACAAGATTTTTTTAATGTTTTTACTAACATGTTTTGTCATCTTCTTGAATATTTATCCATTCTTTCATTTTAAAGATCCATGGTGTTCCCAGTGACCCCAGAGGGGCAGGTCGCTGTGCGTTTTGCAAACCGTGACATCAAGAGGGGTGAAATAGTGGTAGAATATCAAGGGGAACATGTTTCCTTGGTAGAAGCGGCCACGTGCAAGGAGAAATATGCCAGGGAGGGCAAAATTTGCACCCTGATGGTCATTGAAAGCGGAGGCCGCCAAATTGC